GATTTCCATAAATATATGTTATTAAGGGTCGATTCCACCGTTGTGGTAAACGGAGATTAAAATGACATTGTTAATGTAAAAATGTAATTTTAAACTTTGTTTAACACAACGGTGGAATCGGTCTTAAGTTATATTTAAGGCTGCTCATATATTTCACTTTAAAAATATTAATAGAAATTTTAAGACCATCAATAAAAACAAGCTAATTATTTGGCGCAATCTGTGAAGCTTTTTTGTTTTAATACGATCCTGCCTATCAATACCTTATTTTATTACAAAATCTTTAAATACGCTTTAATCCGACCCTGACTAAGACCCCCGAATGGCGTCGTCAAGGTCAAATTTTCTTAGTATAATATTTGTATGGGATCAGCGGAGAGTGAGTCTGCCGATTATTTTTTATGCCGTGCTATTGTAGTGTTGCAAACACACGAGATGAACGAAAAAAATTAATTTCTGTAAATTGTAATGATTTGTAATAATATTTAATGATATTCTGTTATATAAATCAGTTTTCAAGCTTTAAAACCTAAGAAAAGAAGAGTATCATGTTTGTTTATTGAATTTTGGTGACTTTTCGCAAAATAACACAAAGAAACAATCATAAACGTTAATGGTCCTTCAGCTAGGTTTAAAATAAAACCAGAAATCGTACTCACAAATCATATCTGACTTGTTGAGATTCTGAGTTTGAGAAATGAAAAAATGGATATATTATTTTTCAGTTATAAGAGGAAAAGTGAGGTTTGCTCCATTTTATTTTCCTTTTTTTGTTCGATCAACTTATTTTTTTTATGTATGGGTATATCAGTAGTAAGAGCAGTAAAAATTTAGTTAATAACTGCTGGCAGTTGTAGATACTGCATTGAGAAAAGGAATCATATTTTTAGTCAGTTAATTCATGTTCATTTGAAATCGAATTTGTTAACGAAATAAAGCTTAGTTTTCTCTAAGATCAATGACACATTAAAAACCTGTTGTTTATTCAGCTTCTCATAAATAAGCCAACGAACTTTCTTTCTTTCCTCCCCCAGAAATCTCCGCTCTGTATTGAAGTTCCTTTTTTATTCTCGACGGACTTTCATTGCAGACATCAGCAAAACAATCCTGGCAATGTCGATGGAATAAAACTTAATAAAATCCTTTGTCCGATCGGCTTCTATCCATTCTTTTCATTATCCGAGTGGAACAGACTGCCATTGTTTCCTTTCGACCATAGCGACGTTTCCTTCTTTATATAAAAAAACAAGCGAATAAAGACGGTTTTAAACAGAATAACAAATTGCTTGACGACAAAATTAAATGTAATGTTGCAGAAGAGGATGCTCTTTTGTGCATTGAAAAATTGATTCGACTTCATTCTTGAGTGGGGGTTCAGATACAGCGGATTCTTTAGTTTACCATATTATATAAGAAGTGAGTTAAGGGTATAAAGTAAGGGTAGTGGAAGAGAAGTCCTTAATTTCTCACTGAGTTATTTAATCAGATGGGAGTAATAGGGGACTTTCCTTTCACTGTAGTTTTAAGACACTTTATACATTTAATATTTTCACTCTCAATCACTATGTTTAAGTTTGTTACTAAATATTGTACAATACACGTAAAATAATTCACTAACTGTTAACGAACTTTTACTTAACGGAAATAAAAAGTTGTATACTATATGGGACAGGTAAAATGTTTACTTTAAAATTAGTCATATGTGGTTAGTGAATATTTTAATTAGTGTTTAGACGTTCTACAGTTAGTGAACTATTTACATTTGGTTAATGTACATTAGTTTCTTTCTATAGGTACACTTGACACTATTAATTGATTTTGGTTAACTGTTTTTTTTGTGATAAATGATTTTTATTTTAGTGGGTGGTATATATGTATAGGACAGTTTTTAGGGAAGTTATAAGGTTTTTATAAGAAATGATTATTTGTATACGTGTATATGGGAGTTAGGTCATTTTTGGCGGCAAAATCTATTATTTGACAAAATAGGACTAATGATGTTTTTCCGAGCAACGCCTCAATTGTCCACTGCCTGGCTCTAAGATCCATATTTATAGACTTTACTTGACCAAAAAGAATGGCTGATCGCGTCCCTAAATGAAAATCGAAGTTTAGACATATCACGGGAATTTAAAGACAAATCCTTAAAACTAATGTATCTACAATTAATGAATTAATACTATGTATTCTCAATTATTGTTGCAAATTAGTGGAAAAGTTAATTGGTAATAAAAAGAGCCATTCATGCCCGTCCATTTAATATAAAATACGGTTCGAGGTTGTGCTCGAAGAAAAAGATCAAAAAATCTATTTTCATTCTGTCGAAAATATCTATATTGTTGTGTGTGTGTTTCGAACGACATTCATTTCAAATTTTCCAGAACCGTGAAATTGAAATTTCAGGTCAAATCTTTTTGTTTTGCAACAGAAATTTATTAATAGATGGTTTTAAAAAGATTTCATGCACGATTTAAAAAAGTCTGCAATAATTTTCGAGTTTCATTAAATGCAAAAAATACGAGGAAAATTAATTCTTTATAGTTTATAAATTTATATTTAATTATCATAAATAGTTTGCTCTGACTACTTGCCGCAACTGTGCAACATAGTAGAGGAAAAAACTACGACCTGTGCTTTTACCCACAAATATCTCGATAATAGCGCAACTCACTCTATATGTGCTATGTACGAATTAAATAAATTAAAGAGATGTTCTTATTCAATGTAGAAACGAGTCAATTGGAACTGTCGGGTATTGGACACTGTCCAGCGATGGGACAACTGCCCGACATCCCTTTTCAAAGTTGTATTCATAGAAATAATATAGAAGACCAATATAAATATAATATTTAAGCAGAAATTGAAACCTACTGTGCATAAAAATGCATCTCATCGCAAAATAGTGTGTCTAGAAGCATGCGCAGTATGCATGACTTGTCCCTGTAGTGTTGCCAAGTATATTAAATATACCTAACATAAAAGAATTTAAAATTAATTTATTTTTAAATTATATGATTTACACAGTTTGTATCTACGAAATATCGCCACAAAATAACTTATAAACATTTAAATAACCAACTAATAATATTTATGTGTAATTACATTGCTAAAAATATATACAAATACGATATTAATGTTCAACAAGCGATTAACCTACAAATTCAATATTGACCTGGCATCACTTAAATCCGGAGATTCGAGGCTATATGACGCTGCCCTTACAGGACCCTTTGTGATATTTTGGCTTGAATTTGTGGTTTATTATTTAATTACACGGTGAAAGTGGTATTTTATTTTTAGTTTTATGTAGTGTTAAGTTAAATCCTAGGTACAATAAAAGACATTTTTACATTGGCTAATGAAAATGTAATCATTGTATTTAGCAGCTGTTATATTTATTACAAGATTTATGCTTGGAAATCTAAACCTACCTAAGAATTATAATTATGTAAATAGAGAGCTGTATATTTATATACAGGCTGCCCAGCGACGGGGAGACATCGGTATCTGTCAAAACAATGAATGATTTTTTGTTAAAATTTTCTGACCGTTCTGTTATTTTTGTTTTGTTTGAAATAAGATGCCACTTCTATTATTCCTGATATCTACCGTAAACTGATCTATTTCTAATGTATCGAAATGAGGTAAATTATGTTCATATGATGGCAAATATTGCGTTTTTTAAATATTTAGAGTAAGAAGATTATGTTGAAACCATAATTTTATTTTCTTAAAATCCGTTTTGGCATGAATTCTTAAATCACTCCAATTTGAGTGCTCGTAAAGAATTGCAATGTCGTCTGCGAAACTCATAATATTTCCTGTGGTGTTGAGCTTCAACAAACTATTTATATATAAAATGAATAATAATAATGGGCCCAATACTGTGCCCTGAGGAACACCATAAGAGACCAATTCAGACTCACTAAGAACACTATCAATTTCCACATATTGGACTCGTCCCGAAAGATAACTTGATATTAATTCAAACACTTTGCCTCTTAATTCATATGACCTTATTTTCTCAAGAAGTTTCACATGAGAAACCGTATCAAAAACTTTTGACAAGTCCACAAATATACATAAACTTGGCGTATTTTTATCTAATTTTTGGTGTATATATGAAGTTCACGCATAGATTGCGTCTTCTGTGGATTTACCTACGCTAAAGCCGTATTAACACTAACATTGAATCATGTTTATCTAAAAAAGTTACGATTCTCTTTTTAAGAACTTTCTCAACAACCTCTGCTATATTTGATATCAATAAAATCGGTCTATAGTTTGACATCTCTGACTTAGGTACTTCCTTTTTTATGTAAAGGTTTAACAATACCTACCTTGAAAACATTTGGAGAACAACCTGCAGACATGCAATTATTAATTAAGTATGTCAAAGGTGTTGAAACTTTTTTTTTAGGGTCTCAGATCTAATTTTATTATTGTAAGTAACGACTCATAGTCTCGGCTGACAAAATGTAAAAAAAATACCCCCATTTTGCACTCCCCAGATTAAACTTGCTTGTAGTCAAATCTCGTGACTATAGCACTGATTGCCGAAAATTAACTAATTCATATTTTATGTCATATCTTTCTTAATAACATTTACCTTACTTTAACTTTTTTCATCGTTTTTTATATAGCATCCCTAAAAATGTATGACTTCCAACCCGAAACATCGTGTGAACTATTTGTTCGATCAATAAAAAACTTGCACCGGTCCTGTTCGAGCCAGCACCATTATGCGCATGAGCGACACACTATTTTCTCTTTATGGTTTCATTTTTGATATATGGAATTGGCTTCCGCTACTATTTCTATGGCTGTATTACATATTGCAATTATGTGTTATTTCTAAAACAAGAGTGCTCTAAAATTGTTCAAATCCATTACCAAAATTGTTCAGATCTCTAATAATTTTTTGACTATATGGAAACTCGAAATAGAAAAATAAATATACCAAATTTCAATTGCAATAATTTATTAAAAAAACTGCTTACCTTCAGGAGAGCAACTATCGCAGAGGCCAGATTTTTCACAACATCAAACTTGAAACTCAAAAATGTTTAGTTTACACCGAAAATTACACCTGAAAACAAACACTGTTTTAATAAACACAAAAACATGAAAAATATATAAATAAACGCGTTTTTCACATAATGTCTAACGTATGTCTAAAAACAAATCACATATTCTACAAACTTTTTTCTATCATGTTTATTATAACAGTACCAATCTCGGACTATTATAAAAAAAATAACTTTATTTTTAACACCCACACGACGAAAATACAACTTTTATTTTTGGAGTTATTCATTGCATAAAAGAGCAATGTGAATGGTCTAAAAATATAAATGTTTACACTGAATTACGGCCACAATACCTGCTAAAGGTAAGTATTTTTGGCCATTGAACAATTTTCGCGAATATTTGTGAAGATTTTTTTGAGTCGGGGAGTAGGTCAATTTACTCATAAATCGCCGTGTTTTGAATCTTAAACGCGTGAGGGCTATTTATAGAATTTTTATGATTCAACTTAATAATACGAATTATTAAGTTCTCACTTATTGTTGTAATAAACATTCGGATATTTTCGGATCAGAAAACAAAAGGGATTTGTCAAAATTTAATGATACTTTTTAGTTTCTGAAAAATTAAAGACAACAAATTCAGTAATTTTTATTGTAGTAAATTAGGGTAATTTTTGGAAAGCACATTTCATCAAAAATACACTTTGGACTCTCATAACTCCAGGATTTTTTTTAATTCCTTCCTAAATAGATTCAACTTGAAGATTTTCTCTTAAACCAATGTTTCTATTTCTAGAAATACTTATTACCATCTTAAGGCGGATTCCCAGCGAACGTGGTTTGGCGAGCCTGGCTTGTAGATTGGATTTGTCGAGGCTCGGCTCGATAATCAATGCTCGGCAAGAGAATGCGATCTCACGACATGTGTAAGTTCCAAACTCGAGACCTACAAGAACCTAGACTTCCATTGATTCGCATAAAATGAAGCTACAATACGTGGGAAAGGCCAAGCTGCGCCAGAAATGACTCTTTAGCCCATTCCCATGGCACGAAGCTTAGGGGATGGACTCGTGATTCGTCGATCCACGCAGTTATGGGTTCGCCTTTAATCCCTTAATCCCTAAGTTTGGTGATTTTGGCAGTTGTTTGTCCTTTTCTTTTGTAAGTTTTAAACTTGAATATGCATTAAAGCATTAAAATTTTTAGTTTATTTCATTTAGGAGTCCTGCTTGAGTAGATTTTGGAGTTTGGCTTGTAAGTAATAGGTGTGTGTCTTGTTTCGTTTCTTTTATCTATATTGGCTTTCTTATGTATTTTCTTTGTAAATGTCTTTGGTTTTATCTTCGTGTTGTTCTACGTAATTGTTTAATAACATTTTGTTGAAGCCCATCCCATGTCGAAAGGGTCTCTTGTGTCTAGATGTCCAATTAATGCTTCGATAGGTTTCAACTTCGTTGTCGAATGTAAAGAATTATTGTAATCCAGGATAGCTTAGGGCATTTGCGCTTTGAAAGGAATGATATCTCTCAATGATTCCGTTGGATTGAGGGTTATCAGGTATTGTGTATTGAATTGAATTTTAATGAGCATCAATAAAATCTTACATTACGTCTTTTTTGAACTCTGTACCACTATCAGCAAGACTTGGCTTGGTGTTACAATCCCTTCTTGTTTTAATTTTTGCTGAATGTTTCCATGGAGTATATGTGGTATTCCTAGTCGTTGAATTTACGACAGACTACGGGTTAAACAGTTTACGGGCTAATTGGATTGGATCAGACGTAGGATTTAAAATTTCTGACCAGGCTAGTTAGTCACTGGTGGTGGTGTCTCTTTAATTCGATGTATTGCTTGGGTATCCGGATGATTCCTTGATCTTCTTTGAGAGGTAGTCGGACTTGCGTTATTGAGTTTGGTTCAAAGTGGATTGAGAAAATTTTATGATTTATTCGTTTCGTAATATTGGATGGGTACGATCGAATTTTCGGTTATCAGTTTGGATTCTGAAAAATTCAGTCGAGCTTGAAGAACTTTCAGGTTGTCGAGGTCTTTAGGATTATCAAATGTCTTGTGGAATTCAAAAACGTAAAATTTTAAACTGTTATTTAAATAGAACTCTGGGAAAAAAGATATTTCGGCAGTGCATAATTTTGAAAAATGCAAGTGTCGACGAATGGTTCATATTTGATGTAGCTTTGGAATCATTGGGAGGCTATTTTGGAAATTATGAAGGATTTGGTGAATCCAGTGTCTATAAGAAGTTTAACAGGGGGTTCATAAATTTAGATGAAGGGGAGTTCTTTTTTTATCGGAGAGAGAGTGGAGTTCAATTATGTTTCGGGGTTTACCCTTGGGTAAATTTTCCTCTTCTCTATATTGGTATCCTTGTTCGCAATCTCTGAAAAATTTTGGGTTGTATCTAGCATTTTCTCGAACGTAAATTTTGGTTATGCAAGAAAAATCAAAAGGGGATGAAGCCTATAGATTCTGAAAAACAATCTGATTAAAAATAGGGTTTAAGGAGGGCCTGTTAAACTGTGAAGAATATAATAAAGCATTATATATCGCCATTATAGTTAATAATTAAAATATAGGTAACCTGTAACATTATTTATTTTTTATATCTTTTTTATATTATTAATTTTTAAATATTTCTATTTATGTTTCATGGTTGAGGCTATTTATTCATAAGATTTAATGTTTTCTTTATATAAAAAAGTCTCAAGAAATGCTCATTTATTACTTATTTAAATCTATACATCTGTGGAATACGAATTTATGTTGAAATAATAAAGAAAACAACATATTACAAGAGCTGAAAAAGACTTGGCAATATTTTTTCGAGAAATAACAACTCCAATAAATTAATTTCCGTCAATACCTATTCAAAACATTTTTTTGTGTAGGTGTTAAGTGTCGAGGCATTTCAAAGGATTTTTTTATATAAATATGTTTTGAATGCTCTAAAACTTTAGAAAAAAGTGCCAATTTAAAAATTTCGCACATGAGAAAGTAGTAAAATTTCATATTTTTGTTAATAATTGTAATTGAAGTAAAAAATACAGAATGGTTATATCACAAACCGTTAGATTATAATTAGTATGGCATGAGTAGCTGTACAAAAATATGTATATTCTGTAATATTGACCAAATTGATTTTATTAAGGAATAAGAAAAGTAAAAATAAATAAATAAAAATCAATAAAAATCAATAAAAATAAATAAAAATAAATGAAAATAAATGAAAATAAATAAAAATAAATAAAAATAAATAAAAATAAATAAAAAGTAAATATACTTACACAATAAAAATAATTAAAAACAAATAGGTGAAACTTGTAGTATAAAAACTACGAGGAGTGATTTGATAAAAACGACTTATCTCAACACCTCGACAGCCTAAAGAAGGACTGCTTTCCTCACAGACAGTTTCACGTTTTATGTGGCTTGTTTGAGAGTCAGTTCCGCATGCAAATTGGTGATATTAGCAAATCAGAGCCGTCCAGAAATGTGGTATACAAAGAGATTCTTAATTAGATTAACATACTTAAATATTAGATTACTCTACTTAACTCTGACATACATACCATGAACCCCAAAAAACATATCGCTCATTTTTTGGGTAGTCATGCATTTTTCTAAATTAAAAACAGGACTTCACGTGTGCAAAGTTGAAAATGGGACATCCCCCGCAACGAGTCTTTTAAACTGTGTAGAGTATAATATAGAATGCCATATATACATATACAGGGTGTCCCGAAATTAGATGGTCATGTTTTAACGTAATCTACATCCTACAAGTATTAGAAATTAAAAATTTAAAAAACCGACTTCAAAAACATGCGGTTGCCATCACTATATGTAAATCAAATTTATACAGGACCACCCCTGAGGTACCCCCTTACTAACAAAAAAATAATCATATAAATCGGACAAGGTGGTAAAGCATTATCGCTAAACATACATAAAAAATGAAGAGTTTGAGGATTGGACTCAATTATTAGATTTTGACGAAATTTATATGAGACCACCCCTGAAGTACCCCCTTTCTAACAAAAAAAGAATCATTGAAGTGTCTGATTTCAATGATTCTCAAATTAAAAAAAATATATTGCGACGAATTGAGAATATCCTCCTTTTTTGAAGTCGGTAAAAAATAGGAGTAAAAGTTTATATAAACGCCAGTTTTTGAGTATCTTCATAGGTGGGTAAATTAGGGGAGTGACTTAGGGTCAAATTGTCCTAAGTTTTTTGTTGACTGTTTTTAACATTTTTGACTACAAAATTTGAAAAATCTGAAAAACCAATATTTTATTTATAATCTCTCTAGACGCACCATTTTCAAGAGAAAAGCATTTGAAAATTTCATATTAAGTACATGTTATTTTATTCGAAAGTGTATACAATAATTAGTAGGTCTGTGGAATCAGAAATATTTTTTTTTAATTTGGAAAATTGGTAACTAAAGAAATTTTAGAAAATATTTACAAAGATGTACCATCAGGACTTCACTTGCAACACCCTGTATCTCGGACCTATGTTTATATGAACGTTTACTTCTATTTTAAGATGTAGATTACGATGTTAAAATAGGACCGTCTAATTTCGGGACACTCTGTATATATATAATCTTAATTCTAATTTATTAATTACCTAGTGGTGAATCAATAAAAAGTTGGGAGAAAAAAAGACGCAGAATATGTAGATAATTTTTATAAAACGAATACGAATTCAAAAGGATTGCACAAATTGTATAAAATGTTAAATAAAATTTAGCTTTTTGTCATAAAATGGCAAAAAGAATCAAAAATAATATTATTTTAAAATATTTCTTTATTAAAAATACCTATATAAATTTTTGAGTAATACTTGAAGTATTTTATGTATTGTATACATTTAAGTTTCTTTCAAAAACACAAAAAACGTATTTTATAGATGAAAAAGAAAGAAAAAAATGATTTAAGAAAGGCGTATAAAAATTATATCAAATATTTTTTTCACAAACAAATATGTAGTTATGTACCTTTTAAATATTGTTTTAACTTTCTGTAGGTGCCATAAAATGTTTTCTTGTATCATGAATTTCTTTAAAAATTGTTTGGAAAGCATACTATTGCAGTCTCTTCATTTCAAAATTATACATTTTATTAACTGTTAATGAGGAAAAATTTAACTAATTATTGGAACAATGAATGAACACTAATTAATGAAACAAATGATAATTTTTATGTATTTTACAGTTTTACATACTTCATTTTGTGTTTTTTCTTACATGAGCAATATAAATTCTCATAATTGTTTAAAATTTCAACCCTGTTAGAATCTAAGTGGAATATTGGGAGATATTTAAAATTTGAATTTAAAGTTTAGAATTTCATCATCATTTTAATACCATAAACACCACTTTAATGAAGGAAAATATATTATTTAGATTCCTATTTGGATACCAATCTGTAGGAAACAACATCACAAAACAAAAACAATTAAAAAAATCGTTAAAATACGAAATTTCAACTTTTAAATCAATGTTTTAAAACGCGCGTTACTTTATATCATTTTAACAATCTCTTTAACTATCTTTTATCCCATTCTGTATAACAAGAATTAATATTCCTAACTCAATAAAGATTCCAAAAATCTATCAATGAAAATTGAAAAAAAGCCCACAACGCTGCATACTACCAACCTAACATCCCCCAAAAATCCCCAAACGCAAGTAAACACAACCAAAAAAACACCCACCGATCGTGAAAATCGTCTCCGACACGCCACCTCGTACCAATTCTTCAGCAGCTCGTCACGCACCAGGACCCAGTGGACCCGCCGAAGACACTAGCTGACACCCCTTTGCGGTGCACAACGCAGTTTAGATGGCCGCCAATACGGTGATAGCGGTGAATTTTCCGCCCGCGCGGTTGTCTCTGGCACTGCGACCGGACGAACTGATGCCAGGCGCCCCTTGCAGAGCTCCATCAGTCGATTCGGGCGGCCGTGAGTCTGTGAAAATCGGAGCGTGCGCCCGGGAAAGCCCGCCGCCTCCGTGACGTCACGGATCCGTATGTATGTGTGTGTATGCCGGGTAAACGTCATGGATCTCGTGCGAAAAAGCTCACCCTCGGTGACCGTGAGGATGGTAAGAAAATGGTTCAGCTGGAAACGTTGCGGTAAGCGGAAACTGGCTGCTCCTAACTCTCTGGCTGAGGCGGTTCGGTCAGGATGGTGCTCTATCACTTACAGTTGTAGTCCGAATGTATCTACTATTTTAATTATTTCTATCTCAAATAAATAAAAGAAATGAGCGAGACCTTTGAACAAGCTCTTTTAGAAGTCAAAATATACAAACGTTTAACAATTTGGTTCTCCAATGGCGTATCAAGTAATTTTTTTATAAAAAAGTAAATATTTGATCGAATAATTGCTTATCTTTTTCCAAACAACGTAATTTTCCCGAGATGTTATCATCATATAGAAAGCAAGCTGGCAGCCTGTAGACACGTAGACACACAAACTTGTTTGCCGTCATTGTTTTATACGTACCAGTCGTGATTTTACAATAAAAAGTTATTTAGAAGTTTAGTGTTAGTTACTTTTATTGAATCATATACTAAACTACGCCGCATATGAAGTTGGCCAGCCAAATGTTGTCTAATTTTGACTAGCTATAACTTCGACATTTTTTGATAGATGTTGGATTTTCAGCCAGAGGTGCAAAGCTCCATCCTTGGTGTTTTCGTCAGTGGCGTCGATTATTATTTTTTTAATCCCTTCTTGTTGTACAGAATGTGAATGTAAGGCAACAAAAAATGAGGCTTTTTTGGAAAGAATTTGCAAAATATAAATGTAAAGGGCCAAATCAAGTTCTTTCTGATGTTGAGTGGACTATTAGATCAACACATAGGAATGTCTTTGCTATTTTTTTGATTCTTTGCTTGGCTTTTTTTATTTTTTTTTGCGGCATCTGCCCAATACTCCTTTTATTTTGTATATTTTTTCATCGCACTAAACCTTCTTCTCTTGTTTAGTTTCCCTGGGCTGGGATTGCATCATCAGGGTGGCTATGACTGCCTTCGTGGAGACGTTAATATTTTCCTAGTAAACACTAGGAATGTTAGCCGAGGCCACAAATGTGTAGTTGGCTCCTGTTGTTTTGATTTCATCGCTGATTCCATTCTCTTTTGAACTTGGCTGCACCGCACTGATGAAGACTAATAGTCAGAAAGTCAGAAACACGTGTCTACGGTTTGCCTTTAGACCTTTCTTTTATTTTCAGCAGTATCTGCCGAATAATCCTTTTATCTTATATATATATATATATATATATATATATATATATATATATATATATATATATATATATATATATATATATATATATAAAACCAGTTACTTCTGCATTTCCAACTTTTTAATTTAAATAGTTTAAGCTCTACAGTTCATCAAATTTCTAGAGGTGTTCGACGCCCAGACAGAGAACGCGCTACGTGTGACTAAGCTATTGTACAGTCTGCTAAACAAGTTATTTTAAATAGTTTTTAATATTTTTAGGTAATTAAATTTTAAAAGTGTGGAATAGTTTAGGGATTAAATTGGTCTCATTGGACTTTCTTAGAACGTTTTTAAAAGCAGCTAAAGATAGTATGTAGAATTGAAAATAATTATTATGCCATAAAAGGTGTTTTGGAATTCCTTCAACCTTTTGAAATTGAGTCAGAAAATATAAATTTTATAGGATAGCGGAAAATACCTATAATTTTTTTGTAGGCCTTTGTAAATCGTGGAAATAGTTTATATTTTATTTCTACCTTATTAAGGAAAATGGTACCTATTATTAATAACGGTTGTTTCTGAAACATTACTAAAATTTTCGAAATTTTGTTTTTCTACAAAATAATAAACTATACTATTTAGAAAAAAATTTATTTCTCTTATAATTTTATAAAAAATAACAGGGGAATATTTACATTTCTTGAACTATTAAACAAAACGATAAATTATCTCGACGAATGACACCATGTTCTAGTACGGAAGCTAGCTTTACATTTTTGTTGGTGGTTTCATGGGTTTCATATCAATTTTTTGTAATTGTAGTTTACACGTACATATACCTCTTAACACTTGTTTGCTTTATTAAAAAAGTGTGTTGTTGTGATTTACGTCGAAATAAGTCAAAAACAACTTGAAACCCCATATAAAATCAAAAAGGAGAAACGGAAAAAAATTGAGCCTGTAAATAAACACAACTCAGAAACAAAAATAGCTATCTAATAATAAAAAAATTAAATTTGATTCTTGTGCAGCTTCATCTATATCATTAACTGTTCTTGGTTTTTTAATGGTTTTTCTTGGTGATGAAAATTCCGATATCTCACGGTTATCGATTCTTTTTTTCTCTCCAGAAATGCGGACGACAGTGTTTTTAAATACTCCTGTGGCTGCAGCAACACGATCATTTACATTTTTAAATGGTATTGAAGGTGAATTAAAGTTTCCTTCTCTTCTCATAAACTCTATAACATTGGCTATTATTTCGCGAGATTGACTGTTAATCACGCGGCCTCTTAATTTGCTATTAAACTCCATACTTAGGTTCTATTAAACTGTAATGAGCAAAAAACACAAACGAAAATAAAAGAAATGTTTTATCGAAATTTACATCTGACATTTACGTCTGAATGAAATAGTGAAATACTTGATGCGCAGAGTGTACTTTCATTGCGTAAATCCGTCGGGATGCCTGTCAGTAGTGCTTTCTCTGTCTAGCCGTCGAAAGCCTCTAGAAATTTGATGAACTGTATATAATTACATTATTCTCTAAATATCGGCAATACATTTTTATGTATCTAAAAAAAAATCTGAAAAAAAGCTTTTCTAATGGAGATTGGCAACTTTGATACTAGTAGACTCATACAATATATGCCCAATCGATATAGATATTAGGAGACAATTCAATGGCGACGAGATGTGCGGAACGTGGCGAGGGACCAAAAGAGGGCCATAAATAAGACTGTTTGCATGCCATGAACAGAAACTCCATCCAGCCAGACCAGGCAGCGTTTTGTTTTCTATCTTCCCGAAATCGCCATCTCCTGTTCACTTATCGAACACCCTTAATAAAATTCAGGAACGTTGCGCGTTCTCTCCCGTTCTTGGCACCCACTTGCCAAACTTTATGGCCCGATTGTTTTTGCAGATATGAACACTGAACAGTCTGATTGCAGGGATGGGCTTTGTGGATGAAACTTTGCGATTTGATATGTGTCCTAAAACATACTGCATATATTGGTCTTTCTTATTACTGTATAAGCAATTAACTTCTTGTTATTATTTAACTAATAAGAAGAAGATTAGAAGACGGATTTTTTTTAAATGTAGTAACAACAAGTCATAAAAATATTTTTGGTTTTTAATTAACCATACCCGAACTATTCATTACAAAAAAAATAAACTTCGTCATTCGCTATTTTATTTTGTACACACATAGTTTCCATTTTATCTTCTTGTGTTTGTAATTAATTTAATTTTATATTAACCTTTCAGTCGCGAATGCTTTTTAACTGCTTAAATTACGTGTACCTAAAATAAAACTTCCAAATTATTTCCTTAAGATGGCTCATTTATTTATTCTCATAACCTTTAATTTAATTACTTTTTTAAGGAAGGTATTAAATCTTATCGTCACACTAACTGAGTTTACTTGTATACCCGCAATTGTGGCCAGTCCAATGCGGTTATCAGTGCCAGCCAGTCTGGATATCTGCATTTTATATTCTTGCCAAAAAAGGACAGCAATTTCCGAAGTGGAGAACTTATCGATGTACATATTTTATTGTGTTCTACGTTTAAAGTTTTTCGCTTAAGTAAGATGCAGTTATGTCTTTGGCGAATGTCTAAACTTCCAACAAGAATAACAACTCGAAAAGTTTTGAGGAGATTCGGTAACTCTTCTGGAATTAGTAAAGTTTTCTAAATGGAAATTAATAATTGTTGGGTCGGTCTATGATGAAGTTAAATATTACGAATTGTTTTTGCGTTTTGGAAGAATTTAGCATTCTCTTCTCTTTAAATTGCGAAAAGTTAAAAGTCAGAGTCGTAACATGGACTTACACGGTCATCATAAGACATACACTAACATACGTGCAGATTAAAATAAAAGGCAAGGAAGAAAAAACAGACAAACATTCAAAGAATCGCTGACTGCTAAACTGGGAAACATGGCGGAAATTAATGTTAAATAAAGGGGCCAAACAATAATGCTACTGGATATAGAAGAGTCGATACAGGAGACAGAGGTAAAAGAAGTTCTGGAAAAGAAACTAAACCAAAATAAAAGCGCACAAGAAGGTATACAAATTAAAATACAAGAAAAGGCTAATAAGAATGGGGTAAAATCACACTAGAACAGAACGTTGCTAAACAACTAGTGGCAAAGAGAACAATTGGTGAAAGATGGGACCTATGGAGAGTAAAAGAAGTAACTACCCTGCCTAAATGTTACAAATGTTACCGAGTAGGGCACATAGCAAATAAATGTGAAGTAACAGAAGGATGTCACAAGTGCGGAGAAACAGGTCATAAAATAAAAGAATGCAAAAAAGAGCATCTATGCAAGGATGACAGGCACAAGGCAGAAACAATGCGCTGTCCTAAGTACAGAAAACTTGTGAAAACGCAGAGAAAGGAGAGAATGGAAAGACCTAATAGACAATAAGACGCTTACTTAAAATACTTTAAATTAACCTTGGAAGGAGTATAGCTGCACATGATATCATGGAAGAAATTGCAGCAAGACAAAAAGGCGATATAATAATAAGCGAACCTAATTTAAAAACGATAAGTAA